TTCTCTCTCTCTCTCTCTCTCTCTCTCTCTCTCTCTCTCTCTCTCTCTCTCTCTCTCTATCTATCTCTCTCTCTGCCATTGTTCTAAGGCTTGACCTTTTTTGCCCCTCGCTACCCCCTCCCTTCGTCCCCCTCCTTCGCCTCCCCATTCTCATCCCCCTTCTCCTCCCCCCCTCTTCTCCACCCTTCTCCTCCGCGTTCTCCTTCCCCTTCTTCTCCCAATTTTCTTCTACCCTTCTCCTTCCCTTTTTCTTTCCCCTTCTCCTCCCAATTCTCCTCCACCCTTTCTCCTGCCCCTTCTCCTCCCCTCCTCCTCCCAATTCTCCTTCACCCTTCTCCTTCCCTTTCTCCTTCCCTTTCTCCTTCCCTTTCTCCTCCCACTTCCAGGTGTTGGGAGATGGACCCCATGGCTCGGCCGTCCTTCACAAACGTGGTACTGTCCCTCAAGTCCGCCTCTCCCTCCAACCGCGGGGTTCTCCACTGTCTCATGGACTCTATGGAGGCTCTGGCAGTCAGCCTGGAGACCAAGTTAACCCATAAGGTCAGTTGTGTGCGGGGCAGAGGGGAAAAAAGTTTTTTTTCCAAGGAGTGGTCAGGCGTGTCTCAAACCAGCTTCTCATGGAGACAATTAACAGGAAGACCCTGGGGTGGACGCTGAAAAGGAGAGATGAGCAGCTACGGACATGTGCCTCCTGCTATGATTCTAGCTCTGGATCCAAGTAATGCGAGTAATCCAAGTCAGTTGTTGCTGTTATTGGGATTGTTATTGTTGTTATTGAACAGGAAAAGACAAATTCACTTTTAATTTTTTTTTAGGGGGGGGGGCGCCTTGAACATCTAGCTCTCACTGGGGGGGAAATGGATGGCAGACGGAGCAAGGTTAGACCCTGGGCAACCGACTAAGAGAGTCTCAAAAGTGAGTAAAGGGAGAAATATTAGGTTAATGTGCCTTTTTTAGAGTAACCGAACAAAAGAATGAATGGAGAACCATGATCGCCGATTTATGTGTACTTGATATTGATGGTGTTGATGTTATTGGAGATGGTTCTAGTGTTATCATCGTCATCGCCAGGGTTGTCCTTATTGTTGCAATTGTTGTTGTTATTATTACTGTTGTTACTGTTGGTGTTTGTGGGTTTTGTGCCGTTGCTATTACTTAACTAACTATAAGGTTTCTGTTGTTGTTCTTATTTTTGTTGATGATGATGCTGTTGATGATGGAGATGGGTGGTGGGGTTTTGTTATCGTGGTCGTTGCCACACAAAGCCGCCATTGCTATTGTTAATGTTATTGTTGTTGGTGGTAGCGATTGTGCTGTTGCTAATATATATATATATATATATATATATATATATATATATATATATATTTATATATATATATATACATAAAGCTAACTCATCATAAGTTTGTTCTTTTTGTTGTGCCTGTATTTGTTGTTGTTTTTATGGTTGTTGTTATTGTTGTTGTTGTTGTTGTTGTTGTTGTGGTTATTGTTGTTGATTTTATTGTTGTTGTTGTTGTTTTTGTTTTTTCTTGTTGTTATTGAGCAAGTTGACAGTGGTGGTTGTGATGATGGTGGTTTTGTTATCATCGTCGTCACCACAGTCGTCATCATTGTTGTTGATATTGTTATTGTTGTCCTTGTTGCTGTTTCTGCTGTTTCCTGTTGGTTGCGCTGTTGCTGTTACCATGGTCCTCTACTCTTGACTTTCACAACAGGTGCGTAAAACAATTGCCATTTCTAAAATTTCACAACAATTATACCTTATAATCAATTCTCTGAACACGCTCACATGACCTTATGCAATTGCGAGCGGCGTAAAACTTTAACCAATCTGAACAAACCCAATCTCTTCAGCACCTTCCTACACTGTCTACTCATTTCAGAGCCGAGATCTTGTGGCCAGAGAGAAACAGCTGGAGGTGACGCTTTTAAGCACAAATCCCCCGGTGGTAGCTGAGCAGCTGGCCAGAGGTAAACAGGCTTCATCAATTGAATGTCTGCAGTTTCCTTAAGGTCAAGGGTCGATTTCCAGTCTGGATGGGGGAAATATTATCTTTACTTACTTAACTTTTATCCGCCGCTTGTATCCTTTTGGGTGTCGCGGGAAGAAAGAGACGTCTCTCTGTCGCCAGCCGGAGAGCTTGGGTCAGGTGGATGTGGTGGGTGGTTAATGTTTCCCTGACTCCATCTATCCAGGTCTTTCTCTGTCGCCCTCTTTAAATAGTAGTCTACTCGGTGCTTTTACATAATAGAAATGGCTCCTCTTTCCGCGTGACTCACAGTATGTTCGGTTGCAATGGGCAGGAAAAATAGCAACTTTAAAAGACTCAACAAAAAGCACAAATCTATCACTGCCTTCATTCATGATTACCCCTAAATCATGCCTACCTCTCGAAATTTCCATTTCTATCGGTTTTCTTGCCCCCCCCCCCCCTCTCTCTCTCTTTCTCTCTGTTTTTTTCTGTCTGTTTGTCTTTCCCCCCTTACTACTTTCTTCTCTTTCTCCCACCCTCCTTGTATCACCATCTGCCCTTTTTCCTATCAATTGCCTATGTTAATGTAGCCACTGAGCAACGACAGCAGCTACCCGTTGACCAGTGAACGAATAGCTAACCTTTGTGGGAGAGAGCGAAGTGCAGAGACTGAAATTGCAGCAAGGGTAGCCGTTCTTGTCACACAAAAAAAGCCAAAATGAATATTTACAAAAATTGAACTCTTATGCAACCATTTTTTCTTCTTCAATTTTTAGGAGACAAAGTGATGTCTGAGGCCATAAAATCTGCCACTGTGATGTGTACTAAGATATTTAATTTTAACGACCTGATCGGAGAAACGTACACGTACGACAAGGGCATTGATCTCGTAAGTATTTGAGGAGTTCGCAGGAAAAATGGACAAAGTTGCAAGATGTAAATTTTGATTTAAATAAGTATATTCTGTAAAAGCTTGTAGACTCATAATTTCATGTTTTATTCAACTGCTTGTTCATTACATTGTTATTTGTTAGCTGAACAGGAATTCGATGAAAAATAAGAAACATAGAGTAGAACAGAAAAGAAGTCACAAGACTGCAAGCTTTAAAATAATTATTGTTGATTTTTCTTTAGACTTTCATTTTGTGACTGCCTGTTTTCCCCCTGTGGACTCCTCAACCGGTTATTGCGTGTCTCTTTAACTTAACATCACTATACTGGTGAGTGGTGCTGCTCTGTGAGTATTTCTTTGCCCAGAAGACTTAACAATGATTTTTTTTAAACAGAGACATTTTAATCCTTTTCTAAAACTGACTTTCAGGATAAAATTTGTAATCCGTGGCAATACTTGTTCAGAAAAAAACAACAACTAACGGGTCCCAAGGCTATCAAATTGTAATCACAATACATCGAAAAAATGTGTCAGTAAGTTCTTCCCTCTCTGACTATTGAAATAATCGAACAAGCAACCGGTTCCGGAGATTTAGGTCAAGTTCGGAGGTCCTGCCTTTTAAATAACTTTACGGTGTTGAAAGGCGTGTTAAAACTATACAACTTCACTATTCCCTTTTTGAAACAACGCAGCTCGGCGTCGACATCAATTCAGTAAGGAAGCAGTTCCAACGCGTTACCTCAAGTATATTATTTCTCCTTCTTTGTGACATAGCCTTTACTATACGGAAAGGACGCTCTTTTCGGTGTCTAGCATTCAGGCCTACCCTCTTTCTGCTACGGTAGCTTTTGCATTTTCTTTTTGTTTTTGTTTGAATAGGTGTTTTACCGCACTTGCAACACGATATGGTTATTAAAGTGGTGAAGATGAGAGATATTACATAAAAGAAGGAGGAGAGATAAGGAAGATAAATGTTTGATAGGAAAGAAGTAGCAGGCCAGAGCACCATTTTTTAGGTAACATGACGTATTTACCAAGGATTTGAAATGAAGTGCCTGTCTTTTCCCTTTTTTTGTCAGATATATTCTCTGTCAGTGTGTTTTTCACGTACGGTGAAGTGTTAACGAATTGCTCGGCTCTGGTGCCAAAAGGAGAACGACTTATTAAATTCATTTTAAGTACAACAGTACTTATATCAGACAAATCTGACTTCTACCTTTAATTTTACTTACGTATCACTAGAAACGAGGACTACATAATTCGATTTTTGCAAGATTGCACCCCCCCCCCCTACAACCAGGGCAGTGCTACTGACTGAAGTTATCTTTCGGCGATTCCCAAAGGGGGGGGGGGATACTTACATGTTCTTGTGCACAGTAGTAAAAGTAAATGGGCTGCTTTATCAATGTCATGCTCATACTGTGCCGAAACAACGTAGGGGGGACTGCTGCTTTTTCGTTCCTCATCCTTACTATCGTCATTTTTTCCTTTACTTCTCTTGTATGTTTGTCACTCTCTTGCGAACTGCTATTTCCGGGATGCCTTGATAGTTGAAGTAGATTTTGTGTTGTTAAGGCAAGAGAGATGAGCAGAGTAAGCCTGATTCCCCGTTGACATCCACCCCCGTGACGCTCATACGACTTTATACGCGTAAATACCTTACTAAAACAAATAAAACAAGCAAGATTGCATGACTTTGAAGGCTCTCGAGTCGGCGACCCTGACAAATAACATGTTCCCCTAATTAATATTTAATATTATTACTCCTGAAGGTCGCATAGAAAAAGTACATGGAAGTCAAGTCTTACCCTATTTTATATGTGATCAATGGTTGTGATCTGACTCGAAATTGGTCATTATTTCTTTTTTCGAGGGGTGAGAGGGATAATGATCTATTTCATTGTTCCGTACCCAAGACTATTTGCGATCTATACAGCTATTTTTTTTTTTACTAACTGTAGATTTAAAAAAAATTAAGGCCAAAGAGATTGAGTCTATTTCAGACGACATAGCCGTCTCTCAATATTATCAGTATGACTTGTCACTATGAGAATAAAATGTGATTTATGTTTTCACATGACGTAGTCAACGGTGTGATCACGGATTCTTCAAAAGACGAACGACCTCTGTGGTTCAGTTGAATAAAGTACAAAGTCAGACAAACGGAAGAATGGGCTCGAATTCAAGAAAGGTCAGAATTACACTTTTGGCTCTCTGCCCAATTTTCTGATTAGGTTTCAAATCCAAATTTGATAATTATCGGATTTATATCGGAATGACGATCGGCGTCTGTGGTGTAGCGTTAGGCACATTGCTGTCGCACGTAGGGGACTCGAATTCGATTCTGGAGAGGGGAAAAAGTTTTTATCGAGTAACTCGGTCTGTCTGCTGGGAAGCTGCTTTATTCCTTTCAGCCCAGGTTGGCTTTGTCAGGAAGGGTCAGAAACCCGCCTCCTAAATGATCTTGATTGTGTCGGGGGGGGGGGGTAAAATAAACATTTGCATTAAGAAAAAAACAACGAAATAACGCAAAACACAGTTGATTTTTCTTTATTCTTTCAGTTAAACTACTTGGTTGAGATGCTGGATAGCTTCACAGAAAGACAACAATGTTTCAAGGTGAACGAACTACCGTACGGCATCAGCGTCATTTCCGGTTTGAATGAGAACGAGAATGATCACGTGGCCGCTGTGTGTGCTGTGTCACTGCAGTGGCACGGGTTTCTGCGGCAAGGTAAGAACACGTAGATGCCAACTTCCTAAATACCGGTGCATTAAAAAAAAATTACTATGTTATTGATCCCAGAAGGGCAATTTGGTTTACAATGGCAAACATACATACATAATTGAGATACATAATTATAAATACATAATTATAAATACATACACATATACATACATAAATGCACAATAGTACACCAATACAGGACAATTTCATCACCCTGACATTGCAGGTCACTATTGTGCAGCGCCCTGTTATTTGAACTAAGGTTGTCGTGTCTATAGCCTTGGGGGATTTATCGGACAATGATTATTATCATCACACTGTATACAGTTTATAGTTGTTTTTTTATTACCACTGTACACTTGGCAGAGTTGTGGTTCATGAGACGCATGCTACGTATCCCATGGACAGCTAGAAAAACAAATGAAGAAGTCCTGGTTGAAGCAAATTATAGAAAACAACTTATCACGAATATAAGAAAACGACAGGCAAATTTTTTCTGACACACAATGCGGAAAGAAGCATTAGAGAACATTGTAACAACAGGAAAGTTTGATGGAAAGAGAGGTAGAGGCAGACAGAGGGAAAAGATACTGGACAAGATGACAACATGGCTGGGAGCAGCAAGAACAACAGACATCATTACTGCTTCGAAAGACAGATGGAAGTGGAGGTCCATGATCGCCCACGCCAGTCGGCAAGGCACCGGATGATGACACTTGGCAGCTAGATCTAAATGTAATATAATCAAGTTGAAAGACCATGCCTAGTTGGTTTTTGTGCGAGGTTATCTCCACAGCAAGTGTAATTTTTTTCCAAGGGCAGCTGCCTTGTACCAGGATGGAAAGTTGGGAAGCAGGAGTTAACTTTTTAGTTTTGGGGAATTTTTATTTAAAAACTGTAAGATAGTTCTTTTTTTCCCATTGGTATTCATCATGTATTAATAATTTGTATCCTTTTTGCTCTTTCTTTTGATCCCAGAATTAGGAAACGTTACTATACTACAATTGTACTTAAATGGATGATATTATTTTAATGTGTTTTCTGCAGATCAAATTTAATTTTAAACGTATTCTATTTTGAAAATAATTGATTTAACTTTTTTTCTGTTTTTCTTTCTTTTTTTAAAAGGGTTAGTGTGTCTTTAGATTTAAGAAAAACGCTGTCATTTAACAGACCCTTTCATTTAACTGTGTCCGTTATTTACAATGTGAGGGTCAAATGTCAGGTGTGGACCTGACAGCCTAAAGGGTTATATTGAAATTCACAACAAAACGTACCGGCATTCATATGATCAGAGGAACGATTGATATGTTCTTCTGGTCTGGGGCGGTTTAACGGACAATGTGATATCTTCACAGGTTGTTCAGCGTTAGTAGAGGTCCACCGTACACAGGGCAGCCAAATGAGCCCTAATCAATTTGACAGCCTTAGGTGCTGGCTAGGTTCTATCCCCAGAGAACGTCAATATTTTTGTGGCTTGGGCCGGATTGTATAGTACGAGAGAGAGAGAGAGAGAGAGAGAGAGAGAGAGAGAGAGAGAGAGAGAGAGAGAGAGAGAGAGAGAGAGAGAGAGAGAGAGAGAGAGAGAGAGAGAGAGAGAGAGAGAGAGAGAGAGAGATGATGATGATGATGATGCCCATACTAACTTTATTTTCCTTATTTTTGTTTTTTTAATTAATGTTTTTTGTTGGTTTTTTAAAACTATTTTATTGTTTAAATTTATTCTTAGGAAGGGGGGGGGGGGAGGGCGATCTCTAAAATAATAAAAATGGACTATGATAACTTGTTTGTCAATGTTATTAACAAACTCTGAATTACATCTGGTTCTTACTCTTAAAATTACAAATAGGATACAGTAGGTGTTTATAAAACTTTAATTACATATTTTTTCACCATGTATTTTCGGAGTAACAAATACAGAATCTGTTTTTAATGGCTTTGTAATATTTCGTTAGTTGTATTTTTTGTAAGTGTTCTACGGCGCTTGCAACTGCATACGGTCACATTAGCGCGCGGGACACACTAAACATTTTCAGTTGAAAGGAAATTTTTAATTTTGTCCGGGTGGCGGCCGAAGCCCACTCTTATTGATTTTAGACCACTAAGGGGTCTTTGACGTGCGCAACCGCCACTGGGGACCTCCGAGATTTTTCGCCCTTGTCCCAGAAGGCTAGGTGTAGATCTTACCTACCACAAGATCAGGGGTGTGGTTGTTAGATAGCAGTATTAAGGAGCCAGGGCGTAGAAGTAGAAAGGCCCCAGAAAGGGTCAGGATCCAGAGGAGGGGGGGGGGGGCAGAAAGTGCAGGCGAAAGCAGATGACAGAACATTGCTACAGACCATGAAAGGGGGAAAAAGGAGACAATTTTAGAGAAGAAAAATTTTCGTCGCCATCCCGATACGAACCCAGGATGATTGAATGGGAGGCGAATACCTTAACCTCTAGGCCACGCGAGAACCCCCAGTTGTATTCCGTTCTTTTATCTTTGAAGGGTGTTAGTAGCCGGATTGTTAAAATGATAACGGATTGGTTACCTGGTTAGATTGAATTTTTAAAAAAAATTGTTAAAGTGTTTGCTCATGTATAACATGTAGTTTATATTTTTGTATTACTTTTTGGGGGTTGGGTTGAGGGGAAGGGGGGGGAGTATTGGGAAATAATGCAGAGAAACTAGGAAAGTGAGGAGATCTATCTATCTATCTATCTATCTATCTATCTATCTATCTATCTATCTATCTATCTATCTATCTATCTATCTATCTATCTATCTATCTATCTG